AGCTTGGAGATTCAGGCGCCTGGCAGGCGCCTTTTGACCGACGCGGAGTCTGGGTTTTTGTTCAGGAACTTACTTTAAACTTTAAGCTACCGTAAAAGGGATCTAGAGTAAAACAGATGGTTTTCCCCTGTTATGGTACCTTAAATTCACCACCACCACGAAGACGACCTCTACTGGTACAGCGCCACGGCTGCATACTGACAGCATGGATGAAGACGATGCATGCATTTTCCTATATTATTATAAGCCTTATTCTGGTTTTTGGCCCTTATGTTCTCAGTATTGTAGTCGTGTATGGTGTTCCGCCTGCCAGGCGCATTGGAGATGTGCTTGACGCAGAAGAGATTGGTGAAGGTCTGACATGAATTCCGGTTTTGCTTGTTCAACGCTTGAGGATTCTCAGATCTATTCACGGGTTCTGAAAGCTTGCGAACTGCGTCTGAGTGGCATTCCGCAACGAACCAAGGGCTTCCTGGCCTCAGTCGAGCACAGCCAAAACAACCGCATCCTTCCCGTGAGGTCACAACCCTTAGACTCCGATCTCAGGTTGGCTTACACAAATTACTCTCTCAGGGCTTAGGGAACTTGCAGCCAGTGCTGCAAGCCCTCAGATTCACCACTCCTGGCTGTCGGGATCTCAACACAGAAGACTCAAGCTTCATTAATGATAGGGGCACCAGAAATGCCATGGGAGTGAGTCGGAATCATGACTAGTGCATGCATTTTTTGCCTTCCCGGCCAACAGCAGCACTACTATTCCTGCTTCTGCACGTGCTCCCACCACCCTTGAATACCACTAATTCGTATTCTTGCGGGTTTGATACTGGAGGGTTTCTGTTAAGGGAGGGTGCTTAGTCAGCCACATGGGAGTTTCCGAAAACAGGGGACCCTAATATAGTACCCTAAATAAATAGGATCCTCATTATAAGGGCCCCAAAAAAAGGTACCCCTAATTTTGGGAAACTCCCAAATGACAACCATCCGTAGAAGACCTGAAGGTGCCCAAGGCGCGGCTGGAGCAGATGCTTGAGCTCAGGCATCTTGTGATCTTGTGACTCCGGAATTTAGGGTTTAGGGTTTAGAGACTAAATTTTGCAGAGTGGGCTGGAAGGGTTTGGGTTATAGATTGCAAGCTTGGATTCGATTGACATCTAGTTTCAGCTTTGGCCTTCTCGGGCGAGTGGGTGAGGTTCAGGAAAGCGCCGCTGCTGCTGCTGCTCCTCCTGTTGGTGATGGAGTTGATGACGCATGCAACGGTATTCATGCAGATGATGACACTAGTGTATACGATAGTGATCGTGACTGTTGTGCGGCTGGCTTGGCTATGTGACTGTGAGAATGCCGATGTTTGTGATGAGGATGAAGGGCGATAAGGAAGAGACACCATGAGCTCTACAGGAGGAGGTCGAGGATCGGAGGAGCTCCGCAGGGAGTAAGGCCAAAGACGAGTTGATCTCCTGGATCCCCGCAGTGGCGAATAGGGAAACGATTGCGTGGCTAGCCCTCGCTGCTTTTCCTGCGACGCGTGCACGGCGCCCAGGGCTGGTTGATCGCACCTACCAGCAGCAGGATCACCCACCCAACATCTTGAAGCGTGCATACGCAACCGGACTGCAATGCGCTCAAGGTGCACAGACGCGTTTTCCCAGCGGAGGCTTCTAAAAGTCGAGACTATCTCAGCTTGGGCGTGCAGCCACCGCTGCAACGGTTGGTTTTCCGGCTGTTCGTCTCCTGTCGTCGTCTTTTGTCCTCCTGCCATAGCTGCTGCCATTTCTGCAGTTGCAACATGCTCCACCTGTTGTTGTGGGCATGTTATAGTTTGGCAAGTCAAGTGGGGGTGTGACCTTTCCAAAGCCCATGTCAAAAATGTGAGCCGCGCAAGAACGTGCTTTTGTCTGTGGACCTGGGTTTGGTGTGGGGGCTTTGTCATGCTACCCGGCAAGCACTGAACGCCACGCACAAGCCTCTAAACCCGAAGCTTTCCAAATCCTCGACCAAAAACCACACCGTAAGCTCGAATGATGGGATTGCTCTCGACTTGCCAGGAGTCGCCCTTGCCTTCTTTGCAGGTCGGGACGCTGCGAAAGAGTCAGCTTTCAGATCTGTCCCAAGCTGTGACTCGCAGCAGTAAGCCATTGCTTGAACCGTTCCTCATTTGGCACACGAATGCAAGCCTCAGAAATGAAGCCCCGCTTGCTGCAAGCATGAGCGGATGTATTCATGCACAGAAGGATGGACGGACGGAAGGAGGGAGGGATTGACGGATGGACGCGTGTATACATGCATGCATGCATGCATGCATGCATGGCATGTATGCATGCGCGCATAGATGCAGACACGCACGTGTGTGCGTGTAGATGCAGAGATGTATGCATTGCAAGTACGCATGTGCACACAGATAATTGACAGTGACATACCTGCATTCATTCATGCGTCCATTCATCCATCCATCTATCTGTCTATCTACTGTACCCTAAACTTATAAGCCCTAAACCCTAAACTGCATCTATTAATCTATCTATGGTGCGAGAGCAGGAGATGATCGCAGACCCGAAGATGAGGCTGGGAAGGAGGCGCCGGAGGTTCAGGATCAGGAAGTTTAGGGTTTAGGGATGGTTTAGGGTGTAGGGATGGTTTAGGGGTTTAGGGTTTAGGCATGGTTTAGGGTGTAGGGGTTTAGGGGTTTAGGGCTTTAGGGATGGTTTAGGGTGTAGGGATGGTTTAGGGGTTTAGGGTTTAGGCATGGTTTAGGGTGTAGGGGTTTAGGGGTTTATAGTCTAGGGTGTAGGGCCTGTAGCACCTGGAGGGTCTGGATCTGCCCTAAGCCACGGAAAGATCTGTGATGGTCGGGCTTGTACTCAGAACCGTGACGTTTAATTTCTTAAGTCTCTAAGCCGTAATGCACTTCAAACTTCCCAACAGCTGCAAAAACACACAGAAACCCACCCAGAGCCAGGCTCGTGCTGCGGCCGAAATCCTAAGCCGTGCCGCGGTGGCCTCCACGGTCCCCGACGAGGGTCTGGGTCTTAGAGTTTGGGCGAGGGACTTCAGGCAGTGGGAGGTGGATGCTGGAGCTGGGAGTTTCAGGGCTTCTGGGGTGTTGGCGTTTGGGAGTTGGGGTTTCAAGGTTGAGGGCTTCGGGCTTTGGAGTGTGGAGTGTAAGTTGAGGGTGCATGATTTCTGGAGCTTTGCCTTGGGGTTTTGTGGCTTTGTGGTTTCACATGTGCCCGTGAGGTCGTGTGGCCGCGTTCTAAGGGCCTACGTGAGATGTTGAAGGGGCCTGGGAGTTTTCGTGGCTTCGTGGGCTTCGCGTTTCTTCGGTGTTCTGGCACCAGGGATCTGGCCGAAGAGATCAAGACGATAAGTCTACTTCTTGGATTTATTGGCTCCACCTCTTCCTCATAGACTCATAGATGAGGTTTTCCGAAAGTAGGACCTTGTTAGTACAATACACTGAATAGAAGGATCCTTAGTATAAGGACCCCAAAACAAGGTGCCCCTAATTTTCGGAAACGCATCCTTAAATCATACTAGGGATCCTAGTTTAATTTATGGTATAATCCTCAATACCCTATAGATCCCCTTCAGGATCCCCTTAAGGAACCCTCAGGTTTAAGGTGTATTCCTTAATCAAGACAAGTTGGAGGCTCTGGGTACTCATAGATCTTACAGGGTCGCAGTCAAACTCCCAGATCTTCCAGGAAACCCTAAACCCCTAAACCCTAAACCCCTAACGCCTAAACCCTAAACCCCTAAACCCCAAACCCCTAAACCCTAAACCCTAAACCCCTAAACCCCAAACCCTCATAGTAGACTCCTCGATCTTGCAGGGTCGCATTCATGAGAGCCGTCGCAGTCAACCTCCGAGAGCCTCGAGCCAGCAGCCCGGCATTGGGAATCCCAGAGACACCAAAACCCCTTAAGTAAGGAGCAGACCTTAGGGTTCCTGGTTCTATACGGGAATCAAGGAATATACCTTAAATTATAGTAGGATCCCCAATATGATTTAAGTCTTCCTTAATTCAGGGATATTGGCTGCGTTCTGACCGCCCAGGGCCTGGCATGGCCGCGGACGTTTGGCCGGCCGCGGCCCTGAGGGCACAGAGCGAGGTTCGGGGCTGGCTGTTGGACCAAAGCGGGGCTTCAACCACTTACGACTCTGATTAAAAAAATTGTGAGAAAAGAACAGAATGGAATCCTTTCTCAGGATTTAGGGTTCAGTTTGGCAGCCCCAGCCACAGAACCGAAACAGGATCCTCTAAAACCGTTTTGTTTGGCGGCCTCGTGCGGACTCCTTGGCAAATACGGCAGAGGGTCAGCATCATGAGCATCAGTGGCTCGGCGTTCTGCAAATGATCGGCGAGATGCTGCGAGCACGCTGTAGGGCCCGGAATGGAGAACGGTACCACCAAATGCATACTTTACCTCGCCTCCGGCTGCGTGTGCGGGGCGCGTCATGGCGGAGATAGGCCCTGCCTAGGTTTATAAAGGGGCATACAGTTGCTTAGCAATCTCTACGTCTGTCCTTCGAACGGCGAAGGGTATCTGCATCTCCGGGTCGCTATGCTCAGGACCGCCACATTAGGCCGTGGCGAAAAGAGAGGCCAAGTGCCTCTGAAAGGGAGCGAAAAGGAGCACGGGACGGAAGATACGGAAGACATGTCGCATGGGCTCTCGCAGCACCCTCAGGGTCAAAACTTCTGCAGGAACGCTGTGCAAAATTGCTGCGCCTGCTGCTCCAACCATGGCCGATGACGAGCTAAGCCAGCTCTGTCTCTCCCCTCCGAGCTGCGATGAGACACGGCCTGAGTTGGAGGCCAAAAGCAAGCCTCGGCTCCGCTGGTGGCACTTTGTGATGGGGATTCTTGTCGTTGCGGCTTTCGCAGCGTTGGTGGCATCACTGAAGCTGGAGGGAGTCCGCGGACGTGAAGAGGTCCCTCAATTTGGCCGAAATCCATCCCCGGGTGACCATCACAGATACGCCAGAATGGCAGCGCTGCATGAGCAAAAAATCACCTTACGGCGAATGTGGCAAGCTCATCCTCTCCCATCGCAACTTGGTCGGGGAAATCCCGGAGGGCATTGGACGGATCCATAACTTGCAGGTCTTGGATCTAAGCCACAACCACCTGACAGGATCAGTGCCACGTTCCCTGGAGCGCATGATCAACGCGCAGAGAATCGATCTGTCCCACAATAATTGGTTGACAGGCAGCATTCCGCCAGAGATTTCCGTCAACAACGGGCCCCGCGCCAAGTGTGAGTACTTGGACCTCAGTCACAACCAGCTTGACCAGGACTTTCTATTTCCAAGTGCCTTCTATAAGTCGATTCCACGCACACGCATGTGTTGAACTTGGATGTTGCTGGTCAAGGTTTGTTCTCGGCACGGTTGCTACTTTCCGAACAAAGCTTTGTTTTTCGATGTCTTTTACATTGTTCTTCACGCCAGACTCCGCACTCCAACCCTTCCCGTCGCAAGTTTCCGGGCCATAAATTGATCATAGTGGAGTGAGTGAGGACCATGTGCTCCCCCGAGGCAATCGCTCACCATTCGTCCCCTCTCTGAAAATGTGTTCCTGCACAAGTCTCGCCCTAGAACCCTGCACAGCTTGGTATGAGCCTTTGCAAGATGGACCGCCTTAGCTAGCCTGGCCGTCAAAGAAACATAGCAGGACGGACGAGCAACATGTGCCAAAGCTAGAGATGGGCCTTCCAGGGCGGGCGTGTGGGGATCTTAGCATGTCTTGGATCATGGCCTGCAGGATCCCGCGCCTCTTCCAGAAGCCAAGCATTGGGATCAGTTGCAAGGTCACGTTTGGTTGGGCCACCAGCAGCCTGCTAGCTGAACAACGCTGAGCAGATCAAGGAAACGAGCGCCATCTTCAGCCGGCGAAGAGAGCATATGACATGGATGCACACTGGTCCACACTGCTCGACCTTTCAAGCCTGCGGATGCGGTAACAACAATGTTGAAGTGCAGTGCAATCGCAGGTCGTTCCTCTCTGTGACGGGCTAGCGGCTAGCGGCGCAGAAAAAAACGGCACGAGGAGGCATAATTTCAATACGCACACTTCCTTAGAGCTTGAGGCACACCATCGAAAGCTTCGTTGGCGTAGCGTGTGAGGCTACCCCAGCCATTGTGCCCAGAACGCTCACGTCCATGCTGCACAGCGCACGCTGCTCCTGCAGGCTGCCATCCTTTGCTAGAGGGTTTAGGGTTCGGGTTTAGGGTGGAATGTACTGTCAGACTGTGCCCAGCTGCCAAGGCCTTGTGCTGCTGATGAGAAAGGCATGGCCTTGCAGCGCAAGGCCCGAACGTGCGCCAGACTGTATTGAACTCGTGCTTTATGCGGTAGGCCATCTTATCCCGTGACGCATGCGTCTGTCATGCTCTGAGTGCAGTTGCTCTCGGTGGGTGTGTCCAAAAGGCCAATGCTCTTCAGGCTGATTCTTCTTGGGCACCCACGGTGTGCTCAGATCCAGGATAACATCCCGACTCCTCTGCACCCTGCTCAAGTTTCGGGGCAGGGAGACGGCCACACCAGAGTCAGAAAAAGTGGCTGCAAGTAGCTGAGAAGCATGTCCTTATCACGATTCGGAGACCTTCCCAAGCGCCAGGAGCTCTTCTGCCCGGCGAGCCCACGCATGGGAGCCGGACGCTGAGGGAGCGGGCTCAGTGGGCTGGAGCACGAAACATGCAGCAATGTAGAGTACTGTGCAGCAATGTGGGAGCATGTTGGGATGTGGAGAAAGCTCTCGGCCCAAGTTTTCGGAGACACCGCTTTGCTTCCCCTGCTGTGCCATTTTGCCATGGACACGAGCAGCGAGGAGGAGCTGCAGAGAAGGGCTCCCGAGAGCCCCGCCGGCTGGGGACCCGGCAGGGTCAAGGTCGGCGTCGTGGCCCTGAGCCTCCTGATCCTGGCGCTGCTCGCGCTGCGCGCCACTAGCCCAGGCGGAGGAAGTGTGACGAAGGCCGAGACGGCCGGCGGGATCCGGGCCTTCCTCGATGGCAACAAGGGCACCATGAGCGTCGGCAACGCGGTGCAGGGAAACCAGTACGTGACGAAGACGGTCTCCACCGTCACGAACCACGACGGCACAGTCCTCGGCGTCGGCTCCAGCGGCCAGATCAAACCCTGTGAAGGCTCCAGCAACGACGGCCACGGCGCCGGCGTGGCGTCCGTGGTGTGCTGCATGGGCGCCGACGGCCAGAAGGTGGGCTGTGATCATGCGAGCTCCGGCCAGCATCCCGCATCCCAAGTATCCCAAGACTCCAGTGATTCCGCGACTGTGCGCAAGGCCAGCTGAGCTCTTCATCGCAATCATCAAATGGAAGGGCCTCCAAAGCAACACAGGGCAACATTGCTGTATTTCCGTAGGGCACGCTGCACCAGGGGAACCTCCATGGGCAGGCGTGTGAGCTTCGGACCGAACTGTCAAGAAAAGGCGCCGCGGTATAGGGCACTGCATGGCACTGCTCTCAGCCTGCCTTCAATGTCAAGCATGTGGGAGGATTCAGGGATGCAGCGAAGAGCATCGGAGAAGCCCAGGGCGCCTTTGCTCCGAGGCCACAGGCTGCTGCCATTTCTGAGCTTCTGCTCGAGGCAGCGGGCTCGGCGATCGGTCTCCCAACCAGGGTTTTTTTGGAGCCCAACAGCCCAACGTTTGTGATCCGAAGCCCCCCTGCTCCGAATGGGTTGAGGTATCGTAGGAACTGCCTTGAGAGGATCTGCAGAGTTGAGGGGCACTGGTATCTCAAGGAGCTTACTTCCGAGTGCGGTATGTTGGATTGCTGTCGGTGTCCTTTGCGCATCTTGCGGAGGGTCATGGCGTGTTGCTTCGGATCTCTGCTCCACTCCGTAAGGGCGGCGGGCGGCGGCTTTCTGCGGGTGTTGGCGGCGGTCTCAGCACATGTGACAACGTGTCAGCAGTTCGGTTGCACCCTGCTTGGATTGTTTTTTGTGTGTTTTCGGCTGGAGCTCCCTTGAAGATGTTCCCTGTCCGCACAGTGTCGCTCGATGCCCCGGGGGATTGAAGTGATATCTTCCTTTCGGCACGGTGAATCGATGTTTTTGCTTTGGGAAGCTTGCTTGAAGAGGGCTCCTTTCCTTGCATGCCTTGCGCTTGCCAAGAGGCCGTCGCCAGCATGTCTGCCGCTCTGGGCTGGGATCATTATAATTTAGGACCCGATAATCGTAGGATCCTTATTTTCAGGACCCCGAAATAAGGTATATACCCCAAAATATTCCCACGCTTGGCCGGGCAAGAGAGCTCGCCTGTGCCAAGGTTCTGCCGAGGCGCTCCCTGATGGCATCCTGCAACGGCTGGGGACTTTGCCAGGTTTGGGGGCAGGGCCAAGGGTTACTGTAAGGGTTTAGGGTTTAGGGTTCAGTTTAGGGTTGAGGGTTTTGGATCTAGTTTAGGGTTTAGGGCAGGGTGTAGAGGGTTTAGGGCTTGCAGTCTCAGAGGCATTTGGGCGTGTGCCGCAGGCCGTGCGCCCAGGGTGAGATGTTGAAGGGCGGGGGCCTTGGGAGCTCACGTGGTTCTGGCGGTTCCAGGGATCTGGCCCAAGAGAGATTCCGACTTTCGTGGATGTCTGCTCCACCTCTTTATGAGATTCCGACGATTGGTCTACTTGCCCAGATGTCTGCGGGCGCTCCACCTCTTCCTGATAGATTCTACAGGCCCGCATTCACGGGAGTCAAGAAAACCAGTCATGACCGTTAACGCTTTGAGCCTCGAGCCCGGAATTCGTAGCGCTCGCAGGGGTCCGGAGGTCCAGGGATCCGTGGCCTTTGAAGAGCAGCGAGGTTCGGACCGGTGGGCGTGGCATGGCCGAGGGCGTGCGGCCGGCGCGGCCCTGAGCCAACAGAGCGATCGAGGTTCGGGGCTTTCGGACGAAAGTGGTGCTTCAAGTACTCTTCTTCTTATCATTCTCAAATTATGATGATTGTTCTGTTTTCCCTGTCATTAACGGTATAGTGTGGGTTGGGGCTAGGCTTCAAGGCGAAGGCTCTTCCAGGGGACCTCTCGGGCCGCAGGCGGAACCCTCCGCTTGAGGAGCCCCCTTGCTGCCCCAACACATGCTGTTCCCTCCACGCACCGACTTGTTGCAGCGTTGGCCCAAAAATGAGCTGCAGCTCATCCACGGTTCATCCGTAGCACACGCACCATGGCAGCGCGAGACATCGAGCAGAACGAGCAGCAGGCGTTCCTCCAGGCTGGGCCCCGATCCGTGCTCTCAGCATCCTCATCTTCCCTCACCTCCCCTCACGTCCCCTCCTAGGTCGACGACGGCCAGGCGGGGTTTCCAGGGTTCAAGACTCCGCCAAACCCTGAGCAGCCTGCGTGCCAGTGCTGAGAGGCGATATGCGGATACGCAGCAAATGAGAGGTATCCTGGATAAACGCCTATAGTCTTATAAACCCTAAATACTTTATAAGCCCCATAAACCCTGAACCCTAAACCCTAAATACTTTAAACCCCATAAGCCCTGAAACCCTAAAACCAGTGCAGTTTTCGAAGGCTCCGGAGACCCCCAAGCGTGCTTCGGGCTGGCCTCGGGCAGTCCAGGCGGGTTTAGGGTGGTCTTGGGGGTTTAGGCTTAGGGCTTAGGGGTACAGAGTTTAGGGGTTTCGGAGTTTCGGGGTTTTGGGGGGGTTTCGGATTTGCTTCACGTCGCCGAGAAAAGGAAGGGTTGCTAGGGCTTTAGACTGATCCTGGACCATCGTTCTCCGAGACTATTCACGGTAAACGGGTTGTTGCAGCACTTTCCCCTGCAAAGCTCCTGCAAGCCATTGAGGTTGATAGGGCTTTAGGGCTCTAGGGACTCTTTAAAGGTTCCATTTGGGGGTTTGGGGGTTTCGGGGTTTCGGATCTATATACAGGCTGTAGGGTTCCTCCCCGAAGCCGAAGGCACTGCTCTTGCTGGCTGTGGTCGGAGCATGCCTGGCCTGGGCCTCGAGGATCAAAGTGACGCCCGCCGTGCCCACCTCCAAGTCCTTGCGCTTCGTGGACCTCCAGCTCGGCAACAACCGTGGCAAGGTAGATGCCAAGAATGTGGTGCAAGGCAGGCAGTACATCACCTACAATAATATGGCTCCAAGTCAGGCACAAGCTGCGTCTGGGACGAAAGTGTGAGTGGCGTTGAACTTCAGTTTGCCCCTCCCAGGTACTTAGACTCGTGCAGGGAGTTGCCCGTCCTTTCTGTGCCCACGTATGTTCCATCCTGCCTGACATAGTTCGTTCTTTCCCACTTCTGTCGGCGAGGGAGGCTTGAGATGTTGGGCTCTCAGTATGCCCCCACCTCCTGCCCGGACTGCACGCGCCTAGGAGGAGTGCACTGACATCGCAGTCTATAACGACAAAGTTGGAAGCCGCTATGGCGGATGCGCATCAGGACAGGGTTGTCTTTCTGGGCGCAGATCTTCTTTCTTGCTGCGTGGGGCTTGCGCTGCAAAAATCCGGTGCTGCACTGAGAAGCGAAGCCCAGGAGCTTCCGGCAACGTGTTCATCAAGTTCCCACACACGACCGTCGTCATGTACGATGAATTTGTCGGAGGTTACGCCTTGGGCAAGGCCTGGGCAAAGGACACATTCTCTCAGTATCTGCAGCACAGATCAGAGACTGCATTTGGATGTGAGAGTTGCAGTGTTTCGATCAGCTTCTGCCACAGCCATAGTTTGTGTGCCACCCTGCGATGTCCCAAGCCCCGGGAATCTTGCCCTGCACTCTGTGGCAGAAGGCGAGGTTTGTCAACACAGCAGACAGCGAGCCGATCACACAGCTCAAGGACTTGCCCAAGACCCTCAAGAACTTGACAATCTTGCAGGACCCACGGCATGGCTGAATTGTGAGGCGAATTGTCCGGGGTTTGGGTCCTTATAGTCTGCAGAGCTGAAGTGCCACCCCGCCATAGCAGCAGGTCTCGCAGAGGTCGGCATCACGACACCCATTCTCATTTCAGCGCAGCTGCCAGGATACGACGTTGGAAGGCAAGCTGGCGGACCTGCCGAAGCAGCTCAGGCCCACCGGATCCCGGGTGGGGAGCTCTGTTATCGCTGGCCCCTTGCATGCACGTGCAAGGGTGCTGAACTTGCCGAAGAACGAGAAGATCGCGGGCAGCCTCGCTGACCTGCCGAAGCAGCTCAGGCCCAGAGGACTCTGTAGGATCCTTTGGTGGGGAGCTGTGTTGTCGCTGGCCCCTTTGCAAGGGTGCTGAAGTTGCCCATGAACAACAAGATCGCGGGTGGCCTCGCTGACCTGCCTCCTGGCCGCATCGACCTCGGCCCGTGGTGGCGGGGGACGAGAGCTGCAGCCGAGGCCTCGAGCTCTCCAGTCCACGCTGGAGGTCCTGAACCTGCATTCGAACGAGGAGATCAGCGGGGACTTGAAGGATTTGTGTGATATCTGGGGGGACTGCTTCAAGCCCCTCGGACCTGGCTCCCTGTTTGGGGCTTAAGCATGGGGATGGAAGCAGCAGAGGCATGTTGTGCTGCCCCTCTAGGTTTAGGTCCCTCCAGTCACATCTTGTTTTTATCCTTTCGTATTTCTGTGGCGACAGAACCCTGACCTCCCAAACTCCGTATCCGAGCTCTGCTTCAGCTCCCTGAGGCTCTGGGGGTGCGGGATGCGGCTTAAGTTGTAAGGTGTAAAGGAGGTAGGAGTGAGGGGATGCTGTGCAATGCTGTTCAAGGTGCCCTACAGCAGCCTAAAACCCAGAACTCCTAATTCCAGAAGAGAGGCTTCTCTCTAGCCAGGGGCGCCCTTGGCCCCTTCCCAATCTGGGATTCGGCGGTTCTGGGAACTGTGGTGCGGGGGGCCTTCCGAGCGGGTGTGCCCGCAGTTCCCCGCCTCGGCGCCCAGGGAGCTGCAGTACGTGGATTTCGGCCACTCCAACGAGATCACGGGAGATCTGAGCGACCTCAGTGGCTTAAAGCTCCTCGGCGCAGGGTTCTTGGTGCTTCCGTAGATGCGTCGTAAAGCTGAAAGCAGGCGTATGTTTGCAGATCACTGGGGTGGACCGGGTGCCAGCATTTTGTTTTCGGAGAGCCCTTTATGGAGACGTCTGTGACTTCTTGAGGGTTTTGCGGGGGTCCTGGGGGGTTTGAGGGCGAGGTCGAGGCCTCGAGCCTAGCTCGGGGAAGCGAAATCTCTTTGTGGGGCGCGTGGGGGGAGGCGGATGGCTTGAAGGACTCCAGCACGAGGCTTTCGGGTCTAGGGTGAGGGCTTCAGGGTTTGATGGCTTGCGGGGGTTGGACTTCGTCTGTCGGCCCAAGCGCTGCGCCCCAAGCCTCTCGTCCGAGGT